AAAAAATCATATGATCATCTCAATAGATTTAAAAAAAAAAAGCTTTCAGTAAAATATAAAATCCCTTCATGACTAAAAACCCTCCAGAAACTAGGCACTGAAGGAACACACCTCAAAATACTAAGAGCCATCAATGACAAACCCACAGCCAATATCATACTGAATGGGCAAAAATTGAAAGCACTCCCCCTTGAGAACTAAAATAAGACAAGAATGCCTACTTTCACAACTCCTATTATTCAACATAGTACTGGAAGTCCTAGACAGAGCAATCAGGCAACAGAAAGAAATAAAAGACATCCAAATAGGAAAAGAAGAAGCTAAATGATCTCTCTTCATAGCTGATATGATTCTATACCTCGAAAACCCCGAAGACTCCACCAAAAGGCTCCTGGAACTGATAAACAACTTCAGTAAAGTTTCAGGATATAAACTCAATGTATAAAAATCAGTATCATTTCTACACACGAATAACAACCAGGTCAAGAGCCAAATCAAAAATACAATCCCATGCACAATAGTCACGAAAAATTAAAATACCTAGGAATACATCTAAACAAAGAGATGAAAGTTTTCTAAAAGGAGAACTACAAAACACTACTGAAAAAAAATCATAGATTACACAAACAAATGGAAAACATTCCATACTCATGGATTGGAAGAATCAATATTGTCATCATACTAACCAAAGCAATCTACAGATTCAATGCTATTCCTATCAAATCACCAGTGCCATTTTTTCACAGAAGAAGAAAACACTATTCTAAACATGTGGAACCAAAAGAGACTCTGAACAGCCAAAGCAATCCTAAGCAAAAAGAACAAAGCTGGAGGCATCACATTACCAGACTTCAAATTATACTATAAGGCTACAGTAACCAAAACAGCATGGTACTGGTACAAAAACAGACACATAGGGCAATGGAACAGAATGGAGAACCCAGAAATAAAGCTGTACACCTACAGCCACCTGATCTTTGACAAAGTCGACTAAAATAAGCAACAGGAAAAGGACTCTCTATTCAATAAATGATGCTGAGATAGCTGGCTAGTCATGTGCAGAAGAATAAAATTGAACCCATACCTTTTCACCATATATAAAAATTAACTCAAGATGGATTAAAGATTTAAATATAAGACATCAAAATACAAATATCTTAGAGGAAAACCTAGGAAACACCATTCTGGACATTGGTCTTGGGAAATAATTTATAACTAAGTCCTCAAAAGCAATAGCAACAAAAACAATGATGAGTGGGACCTAATTACATTAAAGAGTTTCTGCACAGCAAAGAAACTATCAACAGAGTAAACAGACAACCTATCAGATAGGAGAAAATATTCTCAAACTATGCATCCAACAAAGGTCTAATATCTAGAACATATAAAGACCTTAAACAATTGAAGAAGCAAAAAACAAATAACCCTATTAAAAATGGGCAAGAGACATGAACAGACACCTCTCAAAAGAAGGCACGCAAGCAGCTAACAAACATATGAAAAAATGCTCAACATCACTAATCATCAGAGAAATACAAATCAAAACCATAATGAGATACCATTTCACACCAGTCAGAATGGCTATTAGTAAAAAGTCAAAAGTTACAGATGCTGGTGAGGCTTCAGAGAAAAGGGAGCACTTGTACACTGCTGGTGGGAATGTATATTAGTTCAGTCACTGCAGAAAGCAGTTTGGAGATTTCTCAAAGAACTTAAAACAGAACTACCATTTGATCTACCAATCTTATTACTGGGTATATATCCAAAAGAAAATAAATCATTCTACCAAAAGGACACATGCATGCATATGTTCATCACAGAACTATTCACAATAGCAAAGACATGGAATCAACCCAGATGTCCATCAAGGACAGATTTGATAAAGAAAATGTGGCATATATACATCATGGAATACTACTCACCCATAAAAAAGAATGAGATAATGTCCTTTGCAGCAACATGGATGCAGCTGGAGGCCATTATCCTAAGTGAATTAACGCAGGAACAGAAAATCAAATACTGCCTGTTCTCAACAACATTGCATACTCATAGACATAAGGATGTCAACAAAAGACACTGGGAACTACTAGAAGAGAGAGGAAGGGAGAAAAGGAGGGAGGGAGGGGAGATCATTTGAAAAACAGTCAGATACTATGCACAACCTGAGTGACAGGATGAATTGTACCCCAAATCTCAGCACCACACAATATACCCAAGTAACAAACCTGCACATGTATCCCCTGAATCTAAAAGTTGAAATTATATTTTAAAAAAGTAATACAGATTGTTAGAACTCAGAAGTGAAATCTCATTTAGAAAGTAGAGAACAGATAAAAATAATGTTTAAAAATATAGTAAAATTTTTATATAAATAAAATTATATAATGTATATATGTTTATATTAACATGTAAAATGTATACACATATAAATTTATATAAATAAAATAATACATTATAATCACAATATTACTATACTTAAATATATTTATATACTGTATACATAATACAATGTACATACACGTGTGTGTGTGTGGTGTGCAAGAATTTGAAAGACAAGTGTGGAAATTTGGATTTGATATGAGAGAATATGTGCTTTTACTCAGGAAATGATGACATTTTCTGAGAAGAGAAGTGGCCCACTGGAATGATGTTTCAAGAAGGCAAATTCTGGCATTTGTGTCCAGAATGGTTTAGTTAGTGGAGGTCCTTACGGAACAATGTAGTCCAAGAGCAACTAGACAATTTAGGTAGCACACACTCTGAAGACCAACAATGTAGAGCCAGATTCTTCTTTGTCTTCCAAAGGAGAGATTGATCTAAATCAATTTATGAAGCAAGAAAGTGTGACTACATGATACAGGGTTTAAAGAGCTCCATTAATAATGACCATGGCCTTACACCGCAGGGTCTATTCAAGAAATCTAAACCGGCTTTCTGAGTTCTCAGTTTAGAAAGGACTTTTCACACCATTTGAGTCTCTTTTGAAATTGAAGGAACTTATTTTAAAACTGTATAAATCTTACAATAAAGAGTAGCCAGATTCCCTTTTATATCCATTACCCTAGAGTGTCAATTCCATTGTGTTATAATAACTGGTTTGATTTTAATATATAAAAGGGAGCTCCATCATTGAAATATATTATAAGGATCCTAGTTTTTAAAAAGAAAACTGTAGGTTGGTAGGGATGGAGTATTCATCAGGAAGAACTTGATGAGTATTTGCTCTAAATATACATCTTAATAGGGAAGATATAAAAAATAATATATATCTGTGTGTGTGTGTGTGTGTGTATATATATATACACACATAGATATATATATCTCTAAACTGGAAGAGAATGAAGCATGATACAACGAATTTAAAAATCAATTGCAGGGCCAGGCATGGTGGCTCACGCCTGTAATCTCAGCACTTTGGAAGACCAAGGTGGGAAGATCACTTGAGTCCAGAAGTTCAAGACCAGCCTGGGCAACATGGTGAGACCTTGCCTCACCTCTACAAAAATAAAAAATAAAAAATTTGGCCAGGCATGGTGGGGCACACCTGTGGTCTCAGCTACAGGAGGCTGAGGTGGGAGGATCCCTTGAGCCTGTGAGGTGGAGGTTGCAGTTAACCAATATTGCACCACTGCACTCCATCCTGGACTACAGAGTAAGACTCTGCCTCAAAAAAAAAAAATCCACTTCAATAGTCAAATGTTGCTTTGAAATCTCCATCAACCAGGGTTCACACAGAATTAGAGTAACCAGGTGCCGGGCCCCTGCAGACAGGAAGCATGAATGAAAAATAAACTGCTGCCATATTAACCACTGAGACTGTGTTCGTTACCACTGTGTGACCTAGCCTATTCTCACTTTTATCCTCAGCTTTAGCTATTCACCTCCCCAAGATTTCACTTTTCATTAGGGCTCTTAGGTGATTTTATGCCAGCTGAATAATATATTTAAAATAATAAATGTGTCTGGGCACGGTGGTTCACGCCTGTAATCCTAGCACTTTGGGAGGCGGGCAGATCACTTGAAGTCAGGAGTTTGAGACCAGCCTGGCCAATATGGCGAAACTCCGTTTCTACTAAAAATACAAAAATTAAGCAGACGTGGTGGCATGTGCCTGTAATCTCAGCTACTCTCAAAGGAGGCTGAGGGGCAGGAGAATCACTTGAACCCAGAAGGCGGAGATTGCAGTGATCCAAGATCGCACCACTGCACTCCAGCTTGGCGAGAGAGCAAGACTCCGTCTCAAAAACAAAAACAAAACCCAAAAATTAGCCAGGCACGGTGGCGCACACCTGTAATCCCAGCTACTTGGGAGGCTCAGGCAGGAGAATGCTTGAACCCGGGAGGCAGAAGTTGCAGTGAGCCAAGATCACGCCATTGCACTCCAGCCTGGGTGACAGCATGAGACTCCATCTCAAACAATAATAATAATAAAAAAATAATAATAATGTTATCCAGAATTTCTATTTCACTTAAGAGGGTTGTTCAGTGTATCCAAAGTGACATGCTGTCAAAAATAGAAGTCTCCTAACGGGTAAAGTTATTCCATTTTTTGGAGGGAGGGAAGTTCAATTTTCCTTTGGCATATGAACGAAATAGAAAACATATTTAAATTTACTCTAGTTACATTTTGTTACTTCAACATATATGATGCTACTAAAGTCAAAATGAAGGATTTTTTTTTCTTGTGTCTTTGCTTTAGTCCATGGCTAAAGTTCACATCCTAACCTTTAAAACTTTAAAAAATTAATAATTTACACACTATACAATTCACTCATTTAGAGCATACAATTCAATTGTTTTTGGTATAGTCACAGATAAATGCAACCATTAGCACAGTCAATTTCAGAACATTTTTACCACTCCCCCCAAAAAAACTTTGTATTCTTTAGCTAGTACTCTCCTGTCCCCCTATCTAGAAGGACTTTGGTGGGATGTTCTGGTTGCATTACCTTCTTTCCAGGGAAGAGTAAAAATATGACTTTCGTTTTTAAAAAATGGTGGGTTTTGTCTTCTATGGCAAGGAAAATAATCAGAGCCTTTGCCTATGTGATTCCGCGTTGAGCTCTTTCCTCCTGTCAAAAGATGAAATTTGAACAAATTGAGTTTAGTGACAGAATTGGCTTTTATTAGTAATTCGTGAATCAGGCAGCACCCCATCTATGAAATTTAAAGGTGCTCTGATGAGCTGAACAAAGGAGGTGAACTTTATAGGCAGAAATGCCTGAAGAAAGCAGACATCGCGAATAAAACACAGATCACTCATTGCAAAGCTACTTTCTTTATGGGGTTAGAGCAGAGGAGACTTTCTTATCATGCCAGCTCAGGTTGACTGGATCCCTTCGGACTGCTGATCTGAATCCCCTGTTTTCCTGAAAAATGGACCTGTTTGTAAGTTCAGTGATTACGTAGCAACCAGCACAAGTGACTCACTCTATTCTGATTTGGGCTGGTGTTTTGGGGTCTAGAGCAGAACTTCAGTCCAAAACCACAGTGCCCCATAAATTTTATTTAATACTCCTTCCAACAGAGAATGTTATTTGCCAGAAAAGACTTCTCGAGAAACCTCATCTAAGTTGACATCAACTCCACCCCGCTATGTTATCTGGGTTTGCCTCCTTCACAGCACGTGTCACATAATTTTCTGTTTTAACTTAACTTTATTGAAGTGTAATTTACACACAATAAAATGTATTCATTATAAGTATGCAATTCAATGAGTTTTGACAAATATATAAAACTTCCATCCCAATCAAAATATAGTACATTCTAAATCACCTCCCCATATTTCCTCCCCATCCTCCAAATTCAATCTTCTGTACCTTAACCCCAGACAATCCTCTATCACTATAGATTAATCTCGTCTGCTCTGGCATTCCGTATTAACCATAATTCAAGCTATTTGATTGCTTATCTATTTTGTTTTTGTCTCTACTACTGGCCTTTTTTTTTCACACCATGGTTTTCTAGCACACAGTGTCTAGTACAGAGCCAGGCAGTGCCAGAGTGAATGAATCTGAAATCATTCTGTTTATCAGCTTTGATTTTAACAATGAAAGCATCTATACATTTGAAGGTAACAGTGGGGACTTTATTTTGAAGGTTAACACACAGGAACCTCTTACATCTGCCTTCTTTGCCCTCACCTTTATCATCACAGCAGTGTCAAAAACAGCCTTGAATAAGGAATAATGTCATGACAGGGGTCACTCTTTTACCTTTGGCCACAATGTGTTATCATTTTAAACAAACATGTTGAAAGAGTCTCATTTAATTGTAATGTTTTAAAACTTTGACCTTTCAACTTAGTAGGATAAAGACGTTTCTAACGGCATCTTGCAAATCATAATGGGACAGGAGATCAACTCGAAGCACATCCCACTTCTGAAAACCTACTCAAGATGCATGTGTTCTTCCTGCAGTGTCAGCTCTGTTAATTTTTTTTTTTTTTTTTTTTTTTTGAAATGGAGCCTCATTGTGTTGCCCAGGCTGGTGTGCAGTGGTGCAATCTCTGCTCACTGCAACCTCCGCCTCCCAGGTCCAGGGGATTCTCCTGCCTCAGCCTCCCAAGTAGCTGGGACTACAGGTGCACACCACCACGCCTGGCTAATTTTTGTATTTTTAGTAGAGACGGGGTTTCACCATATTGGCCAGGCCGGTCTTGAACTCCTGACCTTGTGATCTGCCTGCCTCGGCCTTCCAAAGTGCTGGGATTACAGGCGCGAGCCACCCTGCCCAGATGAGCTCTGTTAATTTTTGATAAAAGATTTCTCTTACTATAATATCATCAAACCTTGAATGATATCTATAAACTGCTTTTCTCCAAAAGTGTTTGAAGCCTGTGAACTGGCAGGTCTCTTTCACGCCTTGGGGAGGGCGGGCTCAGTTGGGCATGCCTCCTTCACAGGTGGAGAATCTGAGGTGGAGTGTCCCCGGTATGGAGTGATTTTCCTCACTTCCTTTGAACGTCTTCATTTCCGGCATGGCGGTCTGTGCATTCCCCTTCAGCTGAAGTTCTAAATCTCTTTTTCTCTCAACTATCTAGGACACATGAGAATTAACCTACTCATGTAGATTACAGGGCCCAGCCCTCATTAACCTTAATATTGAAAGAAATACAGCTTTTGCAGTTGGAGAAGTGGAAATGCCCTTTCACTCAGCACATCTCCCATGGGCTGAGGAGATGGGGTTTTTAGAGAGTAGTTCATCCAACACCAACTTGTGTTTCCAGTTGGTGAAAACATCACATATATAATACCTCTGGATTTATGGATCCCTTTCTAAAGCATTTAAAATTACATGCCTGAGGTTCTTTTATAGTAGATCAAAGTGCTGTCTATTCTGTATTTTCTTTATGTCTTTTGAATGAATAATTGGGTCCTGAAATTCTCATCTTCCTTCCTAGCAGGTAGTGGATTGCTATTTGTTGAAGGACAGAACAGCTGACCCTTCATTCTTTTTTTTTTTTTTTTTTTTTTTTTTGAGACGGAGTCTTGCTCTGTTGCCCAGACTGGAGTGCAGTGGCCAGATCTCCCTTCATTCTTAAACACTGAAGTCGAATGAACTCTAGACCTCTTCTTTTCCAGGGATCAGGCTCTCTGTCTGTGCCCTGCTTTTCTAGTCTGATCTTTGCTTTAATGGGATTTAAGTGCGAGCGAATCTCAGCCACATCCTTATCCCTCCTCTTTGGTAGGTGTTGCTTTTGTCAATGACATTGGGTTTAGGAGGAGAGTCACCATATGGGGGGCTTGGGAAGGGTAAGAGGGGACAGGATGTAAAATTCATAACCTGGGCAAGTTGGAGAAATAAATCTCAGAGATGGCAAAACCAGGAAGGGTGACTGGGAGTGAGGAGGGGCAGGGAGGGGGAATAAAAGCTTCTCAGAAGCAGGCCAGGCTACAAACTCAAGCTGGTAGGACAGTGTCTAAAAGCAATGAGTCTGTGTAAGAAAGGTTGGGCAACTGGGCCTTGTACACACAAGTGGCAGCCTGTGAAACACTCTCATTTTGGTAAGCCCTGATGACACTTGCCCCCCAAGATAAGGAGCAGAGCCTCCCAAGAAGGCTGGTGAAATTTCCATGACTGTTCTTTCTCTCTCTTTTTTAAAATTTTATTATTTTTTTTTATTTTTGAGACAGTCTTGCTATGTCGCCCAGGCTGGAGTGCAGTGGTGTGATCTCAGCTCACTGCAACCTCCGCCTCCCTCCTGAGTTCAAGCGATTCTCCGGCTTCAGCCTCCTGAGTAGCTGAGACTACAGGCCTGCACCACTATGCCTGGCTAGTTTTTGTATTTTTAGCAGAGATGGGTTTTCACCATATTGGCCAGGCTGGTCTTGAACTCCTGACCTCAAGTGATCTGCCTACCTTGGCCTCCCTAAATGCTGGGATTAGAGGCATGAGTCACCGCACCTGGCCCATGACTGCTCATTCTCTGTCATTTCTCTTCAAACAGCCAATTCTCATCTTTTGACCTAGGCCAACAGGCACATACTGGAATATTCAATTCAATTGGCCACCAGAATGATTTGACACTATTAAGATCTATGTTTTTAAAACTATAGGTCACACAAGCCTGGAAATCAGTTGAGTAGGGTCCAAAAGCATTTTTAAAAAGTAACCAAGCAGGGAAGAGAGTAGAAGACATCAGTGTATATTGTAATTAGCGAGGGTAAAGATTTTGTGGGACCCTGTTTTAGTTTATATGCATAGTATGAGGTTACAACATAAAATGTCTTTGTGGATCATGGTGAAACAAAGTTTGAACGTCATGGGTTTACAACAATCATTTTTGAGATATTCATTTTTTTGTTGTTGTTTTTCTTTTTTGAGACAGAGACCCTCTCTGTTGCCCAAACTGGAGTGCAGTTGTGGGGGGAGATGGAACAGAGTGGGGAGTCACCAATGTCCCTGTGGTCCTCCCTTTTTCTCCAAGGCCACTTCAACCAGTCCAGCAGCTTTATCAGTATTGTCCCATCCACTTCTGTTTGCTCAGTTCTTTTCTTGCTCCACTGGGTAGCACTGCCCAGCATAGTCCCCAGAATGGCTCTAGGTGGTTTCAGAAGTTATAGGAGTTGGTCATCCTTTCATAAATGCCAGCTTCATGTGCAGCGTGGAATTTGAACTAGAGAGTGGACTCCCAGAGATAAAAAACTAAATTGAATTAAACAACAACCTCATGACATTAGAGACGTCATTTGTACCCCTATGTAAGGAGATAATGCATGTAAGCCTAAAGATTCATGTAGAGTCTATGAACACAGAGGAAACAGTCAACAACTGGTAGGCATTTCAAACCACTCTTAAGCTTTTAAACAATTACTCTCACTCATCCTCGTTCTTTTTTGTCCTTCATGACTTGCCCCTTCCAACTCTAAAAAGAAAATTGAAGCCAGCACCTTCAGTTTCTCACACTATGCAGGTTCAAGTCTTCCTATTAGAAACCACTCTGCCTAAACCCCACATTCCATTCTAGCCACTGCTCTCTTTCTCTTTTTCATAGTCAGCCCTCTCAAAAGGCCTGCTGCCTTTCTCTTACTGCCCAGGCATTTCTCAGCCCACTCTGCTTTGCCACTTTACTCCGTCAACATAGCTCTTGTGAAGGTTGCTGATGATCTTCGTGTTGCTTTTTTCAATCTTCATCACAGCTCACCACTGCCTGTTGTTGAAACATCCTGTTTTCTGGCTACTTTCTCCTGCTGTTTCTTCAACCTCTAGCTTTTCTGTATCCTTTGTTTCCATCTTCCACGTCCCAGCCTATGGCACAGGCCATATTCCCACGCCATAGTCTCTCCCTAAGTTCGTTTACCAATGCTCCTGTTTTTAAATATCACTTTATACTTAAAACTTTTATATTCAGTTGTCTCCTTGAATCTCCACTTGCATGTCTCAAATGCACTTTAAATTCAACTTGTCCAAAACTAAATTCAAAATCTTATCCCCAAACCTAGTCTTCTTCCAGTGTTCCTCATATCTCTGAAACAGCAACTGTCAATACAATTACGCAAGGAACTCATCTTTGCCCCCCCTTTGCCCATCACTTCCTCATGACCAATCTATCACCGAGTCCTTTGCAATG